AAAGTGTCAAGCTGTACCATAGCTAAACAAGTGTAGGACAAACTTAGGATTATCAATGAAGGGACTTCTCAAGTTAAAGAGTCTAAAATAACTCTCCTAACACACAACTATGAAATGTTTAAAATGAAACCTGGTGAAGACATCACCAGCATGTTTGATAGGTTCACAAATATCACAAATAAACTTAGTCAGCTAGGCAAACTAATTCTTGAACATGAAATTGTCAAAAGACAACTTAGAAGCCTACTAAAAAATTAGAAGCCAAAAGTGACTGCCATCTGAGAAGCCAAGGACTTAAATGTCATCACCCTTGATGAAATTTGTGGATCTCTTCTTACTCATGAGCTGGAAATTAAAGAAGAAGAAGAAGACAAGAGAGAAGCAAAAGAAAAGAAGAAAAGCATTGCTTTAAAAGCAAGCATTCTGGAAGAAGAACTGAAAAATTTATCCTGCGATGATGATGAAGAATTGGCTATGGTGGCAAGAAGATTTAGAAAACTTATGGGACAAAGAGATAGAGGATTGGCTAAAAGAGGGTACAAAAGAGATCAAGGTTCTTCATGGAGAACTAAAAATAAAAATGAGTCTAACAAGAAGGAAAAGCTTATATACTTTGAATGCAAGAAGCCTGGACACTTCAGGTCTGAATGTCCCTTGTTGAAGGAAGAAATTTTCAAGAAAAACAAAAAATCAAAGAAGGCAATGGTGGCTGCAACCTAGTCAAACAGTGATGTTTCAAGTTCAGATACTAAAGACGAGAAAGTGAAAAAAAAAGTAAATTTATGTCTGATAGCAGGAGATGATGAACCTAAGGTATGTTCTATTTCTTGTGACATTTCTATGGATGAACTTCAAGATGAATATGAATGTTTTTGTGATGAGTTTGAAAAACTTGCATCAAAATACAAGGCTTTGAAAAGAAAGACCTCTTCTCTTGAGAATGATTTAAAAAAGATAAATCATGATTTTTGCTTTGTTTTTGAACAAAGGAATTTACTTCAAATTGAAATTGAACACTCAAAAATTGATTATGATATTTTCATATTGAAATTGGAAAACAGGACTGAAGCATTACAAAAAGCCATTGATGAAAATATTGCTCTTAAGAATGCAAGAAATGAAAGACCACGAAGAAACACATATTTCAAGAAAAGCCCTGCTAATGTTTTTCCTAGGTGTTATATTTGTGATAAACTTGGTCACCTATCCTATAATTGTTATAGAAACAGAAGCATGCAGAAAATAAAAAGGATTTGGGTTCTAAAAGGATCCTATGTAGCAGCTAACCTTCAAGGACCCATCAAGGTATGAGTATCGGTTAAGAAAAAATAAAAATCTGTCTTACTGGTTGAGCTTAATAGAAAAGACACATGCTCAAGAGCTCAACTGAAG